GTGCTCCAAGTATATGGAGTGAAAGTTGAAAAATTTTAGGAGTGTGTATGGGATATTCTAAAATAGTAAATCATATTTTCGTGTTTAGGAACTACATTGAAAATTAAGGAATAAATATACAGACTTTACAAACAATTTTCAAATAACACACAAGAAAGGACGGCGTAACTACACACCTCTTAGTCCACGCTCGTCTTGATCATGGCAATTTAACGGGGTCTTTGTCCTTATTTATCTCAGGTTTATGCAATGGAAACTGGACTTCCTTAATGCATAAGTTCTGTTCAAATTTGCCCAAAATAGAAACAAAGAGTCAACTTTGTAGCCACCTGTTTACATTGTGTGGTTTCAACTTGCATCGGTATTGATTGAATCATATCGTGGAAGCTTGAAATGAACGATGGAGTTTGAGAAACACATTTTGGAGTGGAATAGTTACAATCTGCAATCAAGTGCTGTGGTATTAAAAAATCTCTGATGTCTCAAAAAAAAAAGAATCAACATTGTTGAATTTAAACATTTCTTCAAAATGGATCAAAAGTTGTTCACTGTGTTGTAAAAGACTCTTTGCCTGTTATGTGAAACACTGGATGGTAGTTGATGCTACAAAGTTTAAGGTTTAAGAGGTGATTACTTTTTCCACATTTGGACTGCTTTTTGCATGTCATTGTGGTAAAATACAGTTTTAAGACAACAGTATCTATATTTATCACTATAATTCATGAAGACATGCGTACAGATGACAACACCTGAACAGAAAACTGGTCTATCGTCATTCTCATGAGTCTTTACCGTTTATAGACGTAGCCGCAGTGTGAGGGCAGGAAGTGACCTCAGACTGGGATTTTGGAAAAACTTTGTGTCTGCTTTTTTTTGTTTGCTGTTGCTAACGTCCTGTAGGTGAGAAGGAGAAGCAGCTGTCTCCTGCTATACGTGTCAGTCAGAATCCCATTACCGGAGAGGTCAAAGACAAACTGCTGCAGGTGTGGACAGTCTCAGTGGACAGCACTGCTCTACCAGCAAAACAAGAAGAAGAAAAAACATTTCCACCTGTCCCTCACATCTCATTGAGAACTTTTATCAAATCCAAACTTCTGTGAAGTCATGTTATTATTACCACCGTTGGTATTATTATTATTATTATTATTACTATTACTCCACTAGTTGTGCATTTCGAGCTGCCTCCCTGGTGGGGGATTTCATGAATACATATCAGGATCTTTAGCTCACTGGTGGTTATGATGCCTTGAGCAATTTCGCTTTGAGAGCGCCGCACAAAAACAAAGACGTTTCTTGGGCGACATGAATATTCATGAGCTGGAAAAGCCGGAGCGGAGTTTAAAAGGCGGATGGAGGGAAAGAGACGCGAGGAGAACGACACAAACGGCAACAGAGGTGCCGTGGCTCTCTCTCTCTCTCTCTCTTTTTTGTTTTAAAGAAGAGGTGAAGATGTAACATTAAAAGCCCCGTGGGGGGCGGGAGTGGCTGTTGAAATGCTGTTAAATTTTCGTCTGCTCGGCCCCTCCTGGACGCCGGCCGCGTTCAGGGAGCAGCTGCGTGATCGGAAGCGTAACTGCGCTGGTGGCTATGAGACCCCGCGGGCCTCACTGGCGGCCTCCATCATTATGCCGGCGGCGCTATCATTCCTGGACGTTGATTAAAATGTTGCCGATGTTGAAAGAAGCTGAAGGTTAAACCACAAAGGGTGCGCATGCAGGCGTATGCGTGTGTGCACACATGCGCACGCACACCTACACACACGCACTTTTTTTTTTTTTCACAAAATCTGACTTCTGCAACGGAGAGAGGAGAAAGCCCAACGCATCTCCCTTTGACTTTATCTGCTCGACTTGAGCAACTTTTTCCTCAATTATGTCTGCTATGTCTTACTGTTTAGTTAATATTGCTTTGATAAGCTGCAGGGGATTTTATCTTTACATCTAAAGAGTGTCATAGCCAAGGTGACCTTCAGCAATGACTCCAAAATGGCGACAGTGATCTAAAAGTTAGTCCTCGTCTTTTGGTAAAACATTTTTTTTTTTTAAACAAAAAGCTTTCAGAATTTAAATAAAAAGCAACGAAATGCATGAACATGCATTGACATTCGTAGGGATGCTGCATCAAATCGCGCCAGTCACAACAAACGTCGGCCAACGTGAGCTCCGATATTTTCACGTGAACGAGTAATAAATCTCAAAATGTCAGCAGACAAAAGCGGACAGCTGAAATGAACGTCTCGGCCTGCTTTCTGTATCTGTTTACCTTCGGCGAAACTGTGATTTTATTATTATGGATCCGGGAGGGAGGACTTTTGAGCTTTGCAGAGAGCGACGGGTAACATTAGACGCGTTGCAGTCGGAGCCGGAGCCAATATATTTGCATCGTTCTGGCAGCATTGGTCAGCTTTAGGTTGGATTGCATTTCATCAAATCTGAGTCTTTTCCCTTTTCTGCCTCCTCGATTCCTGCCGGGCTCGGTTTACCGAGGTCTTAAATAAAACTCAAGAAACGGAGCCGATCCTCACAAACTGCACAACACGCCCAGAAAGTATGACTTAAAATAAGAAGATGCTGATGTGCTGAAATTCTGTAGTACCTCATGCATGTGAGAACACAATATAACACAACAGTTTTATATGAAAATCTGAAAATGAAGGTTATGCATATGTTAGTAAATACTTTGTAGAACTGATGACTGGGGTATTTTTATAACACTTTCTCAAATCCAGAGGGAAAATGGCAGAGGTTTAGTCAGATTGAATGAAGAACGTCTTTGAACCGCAGTTTTCAAGTCTTGCTACAGATTCTCAATTAAATTTAACTCTGGACTTTCAGTAGGTCATTCTGACACAGAGTTTGGAAGTAAACCGATCCGTTGAAACTCTCTGCAGGATGTTTAGGGTCTTCGTCCTGCTGAAAGTATCTCTAACAGGTTTCCTCTACAACGATCCTCTATTTAGCTACAAACATCTTACAACAGACTCTCGGTTTTCCTATCGTTGCCGAGGAAAAGTGCTGACACGGTTTCATCCGTGTGGTCAGGATGATGTGCGTTGCTACTTTGAAGCCACACGTTGCATTTTGGATGTGGCTCAAGAAGTTCAGTTTCGGTCTCATTTGACCAGAACATCTTCCAAACGTTTGGCGCTTTCATTACACAGATGGTGGCAAACTTTAAAGATGATTCTCTTTAGGTGAGATTAGTTGCTTCTTGCCACAATTTCATGAAGTCCAGACTCTTGACTAATATGTGTCCTTTCAGCAGTTTCTCCCATGTGAGCTGTGGATTTCTGCAGAGTCATAACATCCCTTTCATCGTCCCTTTAGGATTTTAGATTGAGCAGTGCTCTGTGAGACATTCAAACCGTACATTTTCACCGGTTCGTATCCTAACTCTTATTTCAGTCTTGACAACGGTATCTCGGCCCAGACTGCTGCAATCCTTCGTCTTCATGATCCTGTTTGTTCACTAACAAACCTTTGACATAGATCTCCAACTGTAGACCTTATATCTACGGTCCTGCAGGTTTTAAATGCCTCTTTGCTTCAACACAGATGAATCAAGTGAATTCATTATCCCTTCAGCATGCCATCATGTTTGGTAAAGTCCTGGTAACGATTCATCCGGTGTAGGAGTGTTGGACCAGTCTACAACCTGCATTACAGTAGATCTATGAGGGCTGGAGACCTCCACAGAACATTTGAAGACATACTGAGAATAAATTTGACGCAAATAATTTCTAAAGCAAATTCATTTCATTTAGTGGGTAGCAAAGTAAAGGGAGTGGTTGGGCTTGAGTAAGAAGAAATTTCACATTTTTCAGATTTTTATACGTAAACGTGTGAAAATAATTTTTCAAACGCAAACGTCCTTCACTGCTTTATTCTGTTTTATTACAAAGAAAACGACAAAGTCCAAAAACGAGCAATGAATACGTTTACTAGCTATTGTATGGAACACCATAAATGATAAAGCATACTTTTAAATATAAATAAATATGCATTTTTAACTGCATTTACCTGGGAAGTTGTCCTAGCATGTTCTTAGTAATGAATATATTATTATGATCTGCCCAAAAGGAGACGACATGTGGCGTGAGAGCACAGGTTGATACAGATCTTTATTCAATTCAACAGATCATTTCTCTACTTCTAATTAAGCATAGAACCTGTTGGAAAAACAATTAGCATTCTGAAATCAGTTGTCACAACTTTTGTAACGTGTATTTTTATTTTTTTTCGTTTTGTTTTGCAACTCTCACTCATGTCTCAAAATTCCCCACTTGCCCACGAGCGCTTCGTGAAGCCCGAGCTTCATGAATTAAAGGAGCAGACGCGTTATCCCCTCAGATTCATGTAGCTACGGCGACAGCTGAGTCTGCCGGGTTTATTGATAATCAGAGTCTCCGGTGGAGGCAGGACGTGAGCGAGGATTTAGCGCACCTTAAGGGAGTCCCTCCTCCCGCGCTGGAAATATGCTCGTGAGATCTCACCTCATGTTAATTTGTCACCGAGGAGGAACTCTCACCGTTAGCCCTCTGGCTAACTCTGAGCTATTCATTGTCTCCTATGGCTACGGCCTTTTTTGTTCTCCGAGAGCTTGTTCCACAATTTTACATTGCCTTGTTTTTTTTTTTGTTTTGTTTTTTTTCCCTCTGCTTTCACCTCTCTCTGCCTTGACTGTTTTTTTGTTGTTTTTTTCCCGTTCCCTCTCCTTTTGACTGTGAGAATTACACGTCCTCCTGTGGGACAATTAAAAAAGGAACTGGCTTCCCCCGGCGACAGGGAGAAGACAAAGGAAAGGGATCGAGGAAATAATGATGTTAGATTTGTTTGTGCAGTCGCCCATCTCCTTTGAACCAGCGCCTCTTGAAGTAGCTGCTGTTTTGTTCCGGCGCCACCTCTTTGTCAAGGACGCCCTGCCTTTCAGCCCCACTGTCCGACAAAATAAACAAAAGCCGCTCTTCGCTCAGAGACGCAAAACTTTCCCCATGCACCCCCACCTCCCCACACCCGATGTGGTTGGTTGTCCTCTTTCATCCCCGTCCTGAACGCCTCCTCTTCCTCTCTGACAGGTGCAAATGCAACCTTCACGCCAACAGCTGCGTGTTTGACAAAGAGAAGTTGAGCTGCGAGTGCGAGCACAACACCACCGGGCCTGACTGCGGGCGCTGTAAGAGGAGCTACCAAGGGCGAGCGTGGAGTGCCGGCTCCTACCTGCCCATTCCCAAGGGCACGGCTAATATCTGTGAGTACGAACACACATGTACCGCAACCAATCCAGGAAACATGGTAGCTCATCAACATATAGGGGCCACTGCGCATGTTCCCCTTAATCGGTAAAGTCACATTCACAATTTGTTTGTATGAAAGCGATGTCAACATCAGGCTACGTCGGCCAACACCGGCCGTTTTAATGGAAACACATTGTCTCTACTTTTGAATCTGGTGAAACGTAATCGGCAGCATTAAAACCTTACCGAGACGTTGATATGTTCCCTACTTTTTCTTAACATGGCTCTTTACAACAAGGCAACTCATTTGGGTAAGTCACATTTAGACATAAAATTATGGTGGAAACGTGATACGTCTACGTAAACATCCCATTGAGTATTAATGTCTAAGGATTATCGCATACTCGTGCAACAAAAGTATGCCATTTTGTGTTTTTCTTTTAATTAGCGGTGAAAGCAAAAGCATAAAAAAACGAGAAAAGAAAAATGTTTCTCGTCTGGGGCCATCAAGTTGTCCAGTAATCTCTCAAACGTGGAATATTTTTAATTATGATGCAGTGATATCATAATTTGTTTGGATTGGGAATCCCCGCCATCTGCAACAAGCTGAAATCCAAGAAATACTTTTGAGACTCTCCTGGACAATGTGGCTGAAAACGCATCACAATACAAGCGTTTCATATCAGTCGATATCAATTAATATTGACTAGTTTGTTTTAAATACTGCTGCTGCAACCAGTTGTTGCTAGGTAACCAAAGAGAGAGTGAATTAGTTGATACCACCAAACTTGCTGAGCTCCTCATTAAAGGTTTAGCGACTAAAGTCTCTCCTCTGCCTACATCTCCCAGAATGCAGTGCGGTTCTGGATCAGAGTTCAGTAAATATTCTATTTATTGACTATTGAATGCTTTATCAGATGTATTATTTATTGATATTGATCATCTGTCCATTATAATAATATGTATTATCATTAATTTATTGTCCAGTCCTACTTGAGACCCTCTAAAGACGCTTATAGCTGCCTGTTTTAGACGCTCTAACAACAGATATACCTTAATATGCATTAATATACACAGTGGAAACTGTCTTAGCATGACCGCAGAAGCTAACCTCTACCGCTCTCGCAGTTACAGCCAATCAGCCCCAAGGAAAACAAACGGTGCTCCTGGATTGGTTGCTTTGCAATCGCTAGCCAATAGCGTGTCAAGTAGCATCATGTCAGTTTCCGTAAGCTGCATTTCCTTATGACTATTTTTAAATGACCTGAACGGAAAACTGCTGGATTTTCTGCCAAAAGTTAAATTCCACAGAAAAACGAGTAAACAAGCGAGTCTGCGAATTCTGCAATAGCTTTTTGCTGAATTAATCAAAGCAAAAGGGGCGAATATCGGGTTTGTGTTTGTGGCAACTGGAAATAGTGTGACAATTTTGAATCGTTTTATCCAGGACGCTTTGCTTTGAAACAACAATGAGAACCAGGATATATTCCAAGTGTTGTTATAAGCCACCATTAAAAGAAGAAGAGCTTAAAATCGCAACAACAAAAAAATGTTCTGACATGTGACTCACTGTTTTCTTGAGAATCATACATTCAACAGAGAAACTCACCCTGACACGGAGGAGGGAAAGAGAGCTTCATACCCGCACAGCAATATTAGAATTTACAGTATAATGATCTCCATTTCCCCCCTTTTCTTCCCCTTTCCTTCCCTGGAGCTCTTTCTGTCTTCCTTTCTGTTCCCTCGGAGAAAAATAACGTTTGCTCTTCCGTTGAAGCAAACAGAGCAAGGACGTAGTGTCAGACTGCACTTTCCACATCCAGCAGTTTGGTGCTGCTAAAGTGAGTGGAGACCACTTTATCAGTACTTATGTAAAGAGCTTTTTCTATCAGTCACAAATGAGGGCAATTATGGTCTCAGTGCAAACGCTCTTGATTAATAGATGCCCTGCTTCTTAGTCACAGCACAACAACTCGTGTGTAGATTTAGTCCGGCGTGGGCGACTGGTGCAAACACGGCTCCAGAAAACATTAGATTATCGTTATAACGCACTCAAGCGACAACGCTTAATGTTTTTTGTCGCTCGTTTCAGAAAGTGAAACTCTCATATTGAATAGATTTCTTATGCATGATGTTGGGTGACTGTTGCATGCTTATAATGAGAATTACCAAATGTAATGTCTCAGGATATTTTTATCAAGAAACTGTAAAATGTCCTTTAGTTATTTTGGCATTTGGCAGCAGATGCCAAATGTCAATCTTAACTTTATTGGTTAAACATTTGGCCAGTTGCTCGTGTTGGTGTTTCGTTATGCTGCCACGGTTGAAAAGTCAAAAAAGTGACGTGGCAATGTATCCAGTAACGCAGGATATTAAAAATAATTATATGTTTTATTGGGATTTTTTTTTTTTTTTTATTGTTTCACAAATTGAAAAAAAAGTGAACTGCAATATCTATTAAACAATATGTCATCTAAATAGAATATTTATACCCAGGTTTGATTGCTCCAAATCTCGTGGGAGTTTTTTTTTTTTTTTTTTTTTTGCATGCTGCATTCTGATTTTGGACTTTAAACCAAAAGAACAGTTCACTTTTGTGCATTTAGTAGCAGCTTATAAAGTTCCAAATGTTTTCTCAAAACAGTGTTCAGTGAATCATAATGTTCAGGTCAAAGCCTTTTAGATTTTAAACTCATAGATAACTCATCAGAAACATTGACTTTGATGACTTCCTGAAGGCGGAGCTTGAGAAATAGCAGGACTTTCTTAAAGAGACAGAGCCCCAATTTCAAGGCTTTCTTCTAAGTCCATATTTTACATATACAGCATTTTTTATAACACAGTTACTTTATCGTGCCATAAAATGATTTTATATGGCTGGAAAACACATAATGCTGCCCCTTTAAATAAGTATTTGCTGGTATTTTTCCCCTTGCTCTGACAACATCTCCATGCTTTTACGACCTCTGAACGACATGACATCTGTCTGCTTTACAACAAGAAATATTATTGTGTTTTAATATCATTATACCTCTAAATTATCCTTTAACCACCGTATTATAAAATCACCCAAGCAGAAGCTCCCAAAACTGTCAGCATTCCTGCCTTATATCAGCCAACAAAATGACGGCTTTGGGTTCAAATATGCTCCCAACTTTCATCCCTCCTCCCCCCCGTCTCTTTATTACTGCGATTTCTGCCTCCCTGCCTGGGGACTCGCAGCTCGGCCGCCGGCCACTGATGACTTATTCTGCCTCCCCGAGGATCCGCGTTATGAGACTTAGGGAGGGTTAGTGAAATAGCCATAACCAAAGCCTGGATTGACAGCACATTATTAAAAAAAAAAAAAAAAAAAGGTGACGGACACACATACATGCACAGGTGCTCATCCAGACCTCGGTGCGGCGCAGGCACACACCCTCATAACCACACAAGAGGCGCGCAGACAAACTCCTTTGGCCCTGCTGGTGATGAAAAACAGTCCCAGTGTAAAGCGCATTATTATACTTTGTCTTGGAGGAGGCAAAATCCATAATGTAATAACGCTGTGAAAAATCTATAGGAATGCAAGGTTTCCCTGCTGAATAGAGAAGAAAACACACAAAGCTGAGGGGAGGAGAAACCCCCACCCCATCAAAAAGTAGAGAAAACGTTATGTGCTGTGCTGCAATCGGCGAAAGTCTCCCCGTGTTTGCGCCAAAACCTAGCGAGCATATGGCATCTCCGCCGAGGCAAATTTGTCAAAGATGAAAACGCAATTAAGAATTAATTTCTTCTTACTATGCCCATCATGTCGTCTGACGGGATAAGGAGGTCAATGAATCATCATCTGGAAGGGGGTGTGGCACTGGAGGGTGCGGGGGGCGTTAATGTGTCGCCTCATAATGGGGCTGTGTTTGAAACGGGGATTTAACGAGTGACAGGGAGCGAAATGGATGGCGGAGACGGGAAAAGGAGGGGAGGCGGGCATCGCTCTCTGTCACAGCTAACTCGGCCTACAGGGGGCCGGGTGGGGGTGGGGGGTCTCTTTCTCCGTCTGTAATGGTTGCCCACCCGCCTCTCATCCTCGCTCATTTTCGCTTCCTTCCTCTGGAGAGAGACAGAAGGAGAGGGATCAGTTGCAGAATTAACCGTGGCAGTTCATTTCACTGTACGACCGAAGGGAGCCGAGCTAAACGGAGGCTGGCGTTCGGGTGGAGGGGGAGTGGCTCTTCACCTACAGAAACTTGATTTCCGGCACTGAAGTTTATCCTGGGCGTCGCTGCGAAGCCAGACTGTGTTCACCTGAAAACAGTTCAGCTAATGTCAAGAAGATCGCACATGTTGCCGACAAAGCACACAGTTTGAAACCAGACATTTAGACATAGTCATGTTTTTTCCCCCACTGACTACTATTAAACAGCAATGAACTTTTTTCCACTTCCTCATGTTTTTGTTTGGAATTGTACATTTGGAAAACCAGTTGATGCTAACTTCCTGGCTGATGTCTGGAGATATTGAAAGGTTCACAGTTTTCCCTGAAAATATAAGCCAATTATCATCATCATGATCTCACAAGCTTCTGATTTTGAAGGAGAAAAAAAAACACTGTTTATGTCATTATTTCTCCATCTAACAAACAATTTCAGTAGCCCTGAACCACTAGGGGGCACCACTGCCCCCAAGTGGAAAAGTTTCATGAACTGAAAGTTNCATGAACGGAAACTTTTCTGCACAAATTCCTGTACTGTTATGCCCCTACCATCCATCCATCCATCCATCCATCCATCCATCCATCCATCCATCCATCCATCCATCCATCCATCCATCATCTGAACTTGTATTCACCTTTCACACATATGAAGATAAGTTCTTGTGGGAGAAATGAAGGAAGCTTAAATGCTGTGACCTCTCTTAACCTGTAAACTTGCTGCATAATCACTGCTCTGTGAGTATTGAATTTTTGAGATTATTTATTAAAGCAGCCTCCAGTCATACTGCAATCATTGTCCTCACATACTGGGTAAATATTACA